TCCCCAAGGGCACGACATCGTCCTTTGACAATTCTCACCCTAGCCATGCACTCCCCCTGGGAGACGATGGGCTCGAAGTGATGAGTTTGATTTGGAAAGCCTCTGAGGCGATCGGTTTGTTCCCCAAGCAGTTATGCTGGATACGGATGCCCATGGTGGGAAAACCGTCAGGTGGCAATCGTTTGATAATATTGCATGCTGGAATGCATCGGATATGGCAGAGGGCTAGAAGATGGATGCTCGGTGGTGTGATTGACAGGCTAGATCGCAAGTACTCGAGAGCATCAAGAGGGCATCTGCAGTGGACTGCGCCTGGCTGCCAGCTGCTCGACACTGACACTGACACTCCCGCGCGAGTGCACCGTCAAGGGTGCTGCGGGTGTGGCGCCGGGGCGCCGCTCAGCGTGGCGATCTTCACAGCACGACGAGAGGCTATCCGCTTGGCCCGCTCAGTCGTGGTGTCGGACGAAACCTGGTTCCAGTGCATCCCAATCTTCAGTTGATGCTATCTGTAGAATATACGCAATCCCAACCTCACGCCCCAAAGCGTGCCCAATCCGCCGGCCCCCTTGTGGGGCCACCAGGCTGTAGGGCGAAGGTTCGCAGTTTCCTGTATCAGTTGCAGCTTCCAGTTTCCACTGTTACAGTTCTGCTTCTTGCTACTTACTGTTCCTTGTTGATGGACCGCGCGAGGGGGGGAGGCCCACAACAAACATTTTTACCTCGCCCTGAACGTGTACCCTGAATTGCTGGGGTGGTTAAAAATTCACACCCCTCACGAAGACCGGCGGGGTCAGGGTCCAAAAACACATGGGATTTGCCACATTTCTGAAATTCAGTGGCACCCCTCACGCAGATCGGCGGGGTCAGGGTCCGAAAACATATGAGATTTGCTACATTTCTGAAATTCAGTGGCACCCCTCACGCAGATCGGCGGGGTCAGGGTCCGAAAACATATGAGATTTGACACATTTCTGAAATTTGCTGGCACCCCTCACGCAGATCGGCGGGGTCAGGGTCCGAAAACATATGAGATTTGACACATTTCTGAAATTTGCTGGCACCCCTCATGCAGATCGGCGGGGTCAGGGTCCAAAAACACACGGGATTTGCCACATTTCTTACATTCGGTGGCACCCCTCACGCAGATCGGCGGGGTCAGGGTCCGAAAACACCTGGGACTTGCTACATTTCTGAAATTCAGTGGCACCCCTCACGCAGATCGGCGGGGTCAGGGTCCGAAAACACAGAGGATTTGCCACATGTCTGAAATTAGGCGGCACCCCTCACGCAGATCCGTACGGCACCCCTCACGCAGATCCGTAGGGTCAGGGTCGAAAAACAAACAGGTCCCGACACTGTTTCACGGCGGCACCCAGACCTCCAGATTTAGCTTTCGCATCTCCCATTATCCGAGACAGGGGGCCTGCGGCATGGGGCGAAGCCCTTACGGATATAGTTCCTTACGTCGTCAGCCCATCTTGTTTTGGGTCGTCCAGCTTTGCGCTTCGCCGTGTAGACTGGCTCGAGTTGTGGGCTCCACTGGATCACTTGCCGCGTCCATTCCCGCTCGCCTGTAGTACTCAGCGTCTGTATCCACTGCCATTTTCGTTGGCGAACGGTGGACGCCCAACTGTTGATACGTAGTCTGGTTATTGTAGCTTCAGCTTTTGGTGTCGCCCTCTTAATCCATTCTACCCAAGATTCCAAAGATTCGGCAAAATCTTCCTCATCATCTGCTGAGGTAGGTTCCGGCTGCACACTGTCCACATCACAACCATCGTCATCGTCGTCGCTGTCGAGGTTATGGTGGTCGTTTTGGCTGCAAGCTGCTCGAGCTGAGGCGAATCGTGTACATAGTGGTCATGCGCGACTGTGGGTGATAGACTGATCGAAGTATTCCGAGATTATGTCGCTACAGGAATTGGGGTGGAAGTGTCTTCGTGTGGGCATACAGACATTTTGGTTGAAGCTTTTCTACAACACACGGTGTGCGCCGAGAGTGATCCGCAATGGAAAACATCATGCTGTACAGCCGTTGTATGCTAAAAATGACCTGTCGGCTGGCGAAGAAGTTGTTGGCGAGATCTCCGATTATATATTCCCTCAACTACACAGACGGCAGTGCAGTGGGTACTGCATCGTCTGGCTTCGAGATTGCGAAGGGCACGGCGGTGCAGGCCATGACGGAGTTTCGTCGAATGTCTGAGACCATCATTACTAAGCTGGAATACGACAAGGTATCGTTGCTGGCGTCGTCCAAGGAGCGTGGTACTGCAGTACGCAGGGTGCCCGGAATCAGCAACTCAGCGCTGAAGGACAACGTCACGTACCTGGGGGTCGACGAGACTGCAGGCGCGCAGAAATCTGCATGGCGGGGCCGACCAAAGCAGAAGGATAGGTTTTTGGCAGCACAGCGCAGACTTCGGAAAGTGGAACGGTTTAAGCGAGCTTGTTTGGGGCTGTGGCAAGGAAGCCCCCATGATTCCAAAATTTGCAGAGCCGGAGTTTCGCCTGCCAGCAGTCTCCAAGTTGAGCTGAATGGTGTAAGTTTGAGTGGGTGGAGGTCGCATCAGAGACTCCGCAGCTGTGCTACCCATGGAGAAGTTTCGCTGTCTGCTGAATTTGTCCTAGTAGGGGGTAAAGAGTTTTAGAGTGGCAGCTGCACCAGCAATTCAGCGGTGTAGAATGAATCGGCTTTCCACCACACAGCCCACCAGAGCGCGAGTCAGCAGGTCTGAGCTCCTCCGCCTCTGGAACCTCGCCCGACCTCTCGAGGCTGGCCCGTGGAGCTCCTCCCGTGGCCCCCATGGCTCGTGGTGTGCTTGTGCTCTCGGGGGCGGGTTGGAAGGTGGAGGGGCCCCTCGAGTGAACGGACCACAGTGGTCGAAAGGTCCAAGTCGATCAGACCCCTCCAGCGCTCCTGGCTGATCAGTTAGAACTAAGAATATAGCGAGCACATAAGATGGAACCTGCAACTAAGATAGGATATCCCCCAGGGCACAGGGCCACCTTGGATCTGATCAGATCCCGCCTTGGGGCCAAAAGCTCGGGAGCTAAGTAGGAAGGCCAAGTTTCTGACTCGGAGTTGCGGTTTCACTGGAGTGTGGACCGAAGAAAGAGATCGTTTGGCGGGTTACTCGACTGACGGGCGTTGATCGTGTGGAAGAGTCGACACACTCCACCTCAGGCTCTATACATGTACGCGAGAGAGGCTGAGACCCATCCTGAAGTCATGGCGGCGGCTCTCGATGAGCCCACGCTCGAGATGTTAATTCGTGGTATTGTTGTGTATCCTGATAGCGAGCTGCCAAAACCGTCGATTTCGTCGGAGGTCGAGACGTTTGATGTTTCGGGCAGCCGGCTGGACCTGGATCCTGAAAGATTGGCCGAGCTTTCCACGGAAGAAATTGTAAGGCTCGTGCCGGACGGCCCTTGCTTTAAGCCTCCCATCCGTGCGATCCAACGAGCTGCGTGGTCGATAGGAGTGCTGCCTGCGAGCGTTTCGGCCCCAGAGTATGTTGCTGTGATGCGTGGAGTGGTCCACGCAACGTTTCCCCAGACGCCAGCGATGTCGGAGCACGGCATAGCGCTGCGCGGGCAGGTTGCAAACAGACAGGCTGTGCTTGCAGCAGACTGCACATCGGAGATCAAAATAGCACAGCAAAGCGTAGCTAAGCAGCTGTGTACAAACTCTCGATGGAACTTAGTTTGTACAGCAGGTGCGTCATGTCAAGGCGTATATGGCACAGGACGAGGTACAGGCCCGTGAGCAGACTGAGAAAGAAACTGTCGTCGCGAAAGCAGTAGTATATTATCATGCGAAGCAGGCGGTTGACAAACACCCGCAGGCTGATCCCAGATTTCTCCAGGAAGTTGAACTCGCTGAGCAGAGGGCTGCCAATGTCTGCAAGCTAGCAGCCCACGTTCTTCCCCTGCCTGATGTCTCCCCCAAGTGGCTCAGGAATCATCAGCGCCGCAGGACCAGCCAGCTCAGGCAGAGCTGGCACCAGTGGGAACAGGTCCCAGTCGTCGGTCTTCGCTGCAGGCGCTGCCTCGCCCTGAGGGGGATGATCTGTCGAATTGCTTTCTGAACGGTTGCCTCGGAGTTCCTGTTGGCACCGAGAGACTTCTCACGGACCCTAAGGGTCACCTCGTTGTCACGGCCGGGATGCAGCTCGAGGGCCCTGGTGTTGCTCACTTTGCGCACCAGCAGGTCCATGAGAAGCGATGCTGGATTTGTTTGAAATGCGGGGCATGGTCCCAAGGTCGAGCTGTGACATTGGCACGTCCCTGCAGAAGGCCTGGCGAACGGCCCATCAAGAAAGGTCAGGAAGTTTGCACCGATAGGGTGAGCCGCCAATCCGAAAGGTTAGGGCGTTCCTGAGTCGTAGCTTGGTCATTCCTCGGGCATCCCCCTCGTTTGAGCAGGTCCCTGTTGAGTCGGTCCCTGGCTTTACGGTGGTTCAAAGTTCGTTCTCGGCCTCAGGGAGTGTCCCTACATATGAGCAGCGAATGGCTGCAGCAGTTGAGAGAATTTGGGACAAAGAAGCCAAATCACAAGGCCAGTAGCACTGATTTGATCAGACCCTGGTGCTGTGCACTTTCCCGTCTTGGGGCATTCCATTCCACTCCATTCCATTCCATTCCATTGCATTCCATGGCGCTCCAGTGCTTTCCATTCCTTTCCTTTCCTTTCCTTTCCATTCCATTCCATTCCATTATATTCCATTCCTCCTCCTCCTCCTCCTCCTCCTCCTCCTCCTCCTCCTCCTCCTCCTCCTCCTCCTCCTCCTCCTCCTCCTCCTCCTCCTCCTCCTCCTCCTCCCTCCTCCTCCTCCCTCCTCCTCCTCCTCCTCCTCCTCCCTCCTCCTTCTCCTCCTCCTCCTCCTCCTCCTCCTCCTCCTCCTCCTCCTCCTCCTCCTCCTCCTCCTCCTCCTCCTCCTCCTCCTCCTCCTCCCCCCCGACGCCGCTCTTCCGGCCGACCCCCCCGGGCGCACCGAGGGCGAACTCGACGGTGTCTCGCTGCTGCTCGCGCTCCAGCCGGACCCGCTCCTCCTTCTCCGCCTCGGCGCGGGAGGGCGGCGGCTGCCCATCGGCAGCGCGCCGAGAGGGGGGGGGGCAGCGGCAGGTGGAGGGGGGAGGCGGACCCAGGAGAAGAGGAGGAGGAGGAGAAGAGGAGGAGAAGAGGAGGAGGAGGAGAGGAGGAGGGAGAGGAGGGGGAGGAGGGGGAGGAGGAGGAGGGGGGGCAACGGCAGGCGGAGGGGGGAGGCAGACTTGGGATCGGGTCGGGCACGTCCTCCTTCGGGCGGATATCTTGGAGGAATCATAAAGACTGTCAAAGAATACTCAAGCAGGACCAAACAATGACTGTCGCAAAGAATCGTCCCCATATCATCTTCGGACCATTCTCGGAACGTGCCTCCTGCAGAGGGACGTGCCCGCCTGAAGGGCAGGTCGCTCCCGAGCGCCCCAGGGCGCCCCCAAGGCTCTCTCCGGGAGCGCTGTATGGAGCCGGCCGCGGCGCCCGCGGTGCGGCCGCCAGCGCTCAGAGATTTTTGTGCGGATCTCGGCGGCGCGCCGAGGGTTCAGTCGGGCGTGTCCCCCCTGGAGGAGGAATATGAAGGGGCCCCAGGACATTCCTTAGATTTTGGGCAGATTTTGGCGTGTCCATCTTTTCGGCTTCCCGACGCCCCAAGACGGCCCAAGGGGCCCCCAAGATCGCCCCAAGAGGGCCCAAGAAGCTCCCAAGAAGGCCCCAAGATGGCCCAAGAGGGCTCCAAGACGGCCCCAGAGGCATCCAAGACGGCCCAAGAGGGGCCCAAGAGGGCCCCAAGCGATGCCCCAAAGGGGGAACACAAAACAAAACTTCGAGCCCTCGGCCTTAAGAAGCCCCCAGGAGGCCTCAAGAGGCCCCTGAGAGGCCCCAAAAGCCCCCAAGAGGCCCTCAGGAGGCCCCCAAGCGACGCTGAAGAGGCCCCCCAGCGGCCCCAAGAGGCTCAGTCATGCGAAATGGGCCGGCGGAATGAGCGAAGCGATTCAAACAAATACACACAAATAAAATTATCCCGGCAAAGCAACCTAACAGCGATGTGTAGAAGCATATCTGAAAGCATTCCCCTTACGATTCAGATGAAAATCCAGTTGTCGAATTCTGCTGTTCTCGCAGTCGTAGTCGCATTCGCGATGACAGTCGCAGCGGCAACGGCAGTCGCAGTCACAGCCTCAGCCTCAGCCTGCCTCCTCCTCCTCCTCCTCTTTCTCCTGCTCCTCCTCCTCCTCCTCCTCCTCTTCCTCCTGCTCGTCCTCGTTCTCGTCCTCCTCGTCTTGCTCGTCCTCCTCCTCCTGGTGCTCTCTCCTCCTCCTCCTCCTCCTCCTCCTCCTCCTCCTCCTCCTCCTGGTGGTCCTCGTTCTCCTCCTCCTGGTGCTCTCCCCCCCCCTCCTCCTCCTCGTCCTCCTCCTCCTCCTCCGCCTCCTCGTCCTCCTCCTCCTCTTCCTCCTCCTCCTTCCTCCTCCTCCTCCTCCTCCTGGTAGTCCTCCCCCTCCCCTCCTCCTCCTCCTCCTCCTCTTCCTGGTCGTCCTCGTTCTCGTCCTCCTCGTCTTGCTCGTCCTCCTCCTCCTGGTGTTCTCTCCTCCTCCTCCTCCTCCTCCTCCTCCTCCTCCTCCTCCTCCTCCTGGTGGTCCTCGTTCTCCTCCTCCTGGTACTCTCCCCCCCCCTCCTCCTCCTCCTCCTCGTCCTCGTCCTCCTCCTCCTCCTCCTCCTCTTCCTCCTCCTCCTCCTCCTCCTCCTCCTCCTCCTCCTCCTCCTGGTACTCCTCCCCCTCCCCTCCTCCTCCTCCTCCTCCTCCTCCTCTTCCTGGTCGTCCTCCTCCTCCTGGTCGTCCTCCTCCTCCTGCTCGTCCTCCTCCTCCTCCTGCTCGTCCTTCTTCTCCTGCTCCTCCTGCTCCTCGTCCTGCTCCTGCTCGTCCTCGTCCTCCTGGTCTTGCTCGTCCTCCTCCTCGTCGTGCTCTTGCCCCTGCTGAAAATGTGGCCCAGGAATGGGAGTTCTGGGAAGTCGAAGAGCACGAAGTTGCCTACAGTTGGCTACGGGCATTCAAAATGTGGCCCGGGAATGGAGTTCTGGGAACTCGAAGAGCACGAAGTGGCCTACAGTTGGCTCCGGGCATTCAAAATGTGGCCCGGGAATGGAGTTCTGGGAACTCGAAGAGCACGAAGTGGCCTACAGTTGGCTCCGGGCATTCAAAATGTGGCCCGGGAATGGAGTTCTGGGAAATAGAAGAGCACGAAGTGGCCTACAGTTGGCTCCGGGCATCCAAAATGTGGCCCGGGAATGGAGTTCTGGGAACTCGAAGAGCACGAAGTGTGTGACTGTTGCATCCGGTTATTCTAAATGTGGCCCGGGAATGGCGTTCTGGGATCTCGAAGAGCACGAAGTGTGTGACTGTTGCATCCGGGTATTCAGAATGTGGCCTGGGAATGGAGTTCTGGGAAGTCGAAGAGCACGAAGTGTGTGACTGTTGGTGAAAAACGAGCCCGGCACCCTGCCGCCCGGCAACTCCCCAACACCTGCCCGGACCCCCCTGTGGAGTGATCTGTGAGCTCTTTTGAGACCACTAGAAACCTATCAGTCTTCGCTGTTAGGTAATATTCCCCATATTTTCCCATATTTTCTAGGTTCCTGTCTTCCCCCCAACTTCCCATATTTTCCCATATTTTCTGGGGAATCGAGGATTAATTGTGTCTGTGTGTTTCTTTTCCTCATGAGAATACTCGAAAAGAGTCCACAAAAAATAGTCGGGGGACGACGTTTCGACTATTCTTGTTCCTATGCTTGAAGTGTTGTTCGAACGTGTCTGATTTTTCCTCCCAAAATCCGCCTGTAGGGGGACGTGCCCGACCTGAGCCGAGGGGGGAAGCGAGCGGGGGCAGGCCCTCTCCAAGGCGGCGCGGGGCTGCTCAAGAGCCCTGGGGCCTTCTGCGAGGCCCTCTGCGGCCTCGGAGCGGGCTTATAAAACTTCTCTGGGGCCTCCTGTAGAAGAAAAAACGCCATCAAGATGAACGAAGGGGCCCTGGGACACACAAATAAATACACACAAATAAAAGGATCCCCCATATCTTCCCATATTTTCTGGGTTTATGTCTTCCCCCCATTTCCCATATTTGTCCATATTTTCTGGGTAATCGACGATTAATTGTGTCTGTGTTTTTTCCCTCCTGAAAATCCGCGCGGAGCGCCAAAAGATTACGTTGATGCCATGTTCTCTTCTGCGAGATACGGAGACGGCCTAGGAAACTTCGAGGAGGAGGAGGAGGAAGAGAAAACAATTCTCTGGGGCCTTCGGAGCCTTCTGAGAGGGCCTGCCCCATCCGCCTTCCCTCTTGGGCGCGCTGTCGAGCCCAGGCTGTCGACGCCGTGAGCTGTGTTCGACACGGTCGTTTCGCCGAGTTGTTGACACCGTCGTCGTCAAGTTCTGCCCCTGGCGGCGGGATTGGCCGAAGGCCAGTGGATCCGCCGCCCCCGTGTGGTCCTTAGCGTGTCAAGAGGTCTGCATATCAATAGAAACAAACATAATGGCATAAGCATCAACCCTTGGTGCTCCGCGCGGGCTTCTTGGATCTGCGCTGGACCCCCTCCCTGGCGCGCAAAGCGCGCCAGGGGCGCCGCCCGGGGACCCAGCGCGGATCCAACAAATCCGCGCGGAACGCCACAAAAGTTTATGCATATGGCGTTTTTCTTCTTCGAATCAAGGTTCAGAATATCTGCTGCCCAAAACTTGCCGGTGGCCTTCGGACGGTCCCGCCAGCCACCCCGGCGAACCACAAAACCAAGAAGACTCCTCGTCCTTTCCCTCCGGTCTTTCTCCCCCAAGTGTTCCCCCAGGAGGGGGTCCACAACGAACTTTGGTCCAGCGTTGCCCAACGTTTGGCCAAATAGGCGCTTCCTAAAGACAGGGGGCGGTGATGGACAAAACTGACGAAGTCGGCCGGCGCTCGCGGGAATGCACCTGGAGCACGCCGATGAAGCCGTGGAAGGTGTAGAAGATCTGCTCCTGGGGGGTGCTCTCGGGCAAGTTCCAACGGCAGCCATTGATGCAAAAGCGGTGGCGATGGCGACGACGCGGGGAAGACGAGGGCAAGGGGGAGACAGGAACAGGACGAGGAAGGAAGGGAGTGACGAAGAGGAGGAGGAGGAGGAGGAGGAGGAGGAGGAGGTCACTCGACCGAGGGAAACGGCTAAATAAATGGCCGACCCGATCAAATTACGATACCGTGCCCAGCAGAGTCCCGAAGCACCAACCCCGAGCAGAGCAGTGGCGGATAAAACAAAACAGTAGGACAACGCGTAGAATACGACCACCTGCAACAAGGGAACGTTCGACACAATGCGCAGGACGTGACAAGCAATGCGAGACAGGAGCGGAAAAAATGGCAGAGAGCAACGACACTCAGGCCTACTGCTACTCAGGGTCGCAATCCAGAACGTCGGAATACAAGAGGCACCGCCGTCGAACATGAGTTCGTAATAGTCGCACCCAGCGTCGGCAGGGATGTCGTGATCAGCTATGAGCGTCAGCGCCCGAAATTCGTTCAGGAGCGTTTTCGCGAACATCTGCATCTCACTGAGAAAGCTCTCAAAAGCTCTCATTTGATCGCCCACCATCACGCCACAGTTGTAACACTCGAGAAAATCGCCGTCCTCGAACTGCTGATCGGCGACTGGTCCGCGGAGCTCACGTTCAATGCTGACCGTTTTGGTCAGCAGGTCGTCGTTGAGCGCCCTCGTCGTCGCATCAATACCACAACAAAACAAAGATGCCATGCTCAAAGGAAACGTCAGTCTGGGATGTGGCCTCCCGACGACTGTCTTCGCCGCCATCGTCGTAGATGTCGAGCACCTCAGCGCCCTGCAGCAAATCAACAGCGCGTGGCCGAACAGTGTCTCAGGTAGCGTAAGATGTAGTGCTATTCGAGGCTGACCACAGCAAGACGCTCTGTCGAGGCTGACGAAAGAGAGACGGGTTCACCATCCGAGTCGTCCCTGCATTGCTTCAGCCTGGAGCCAATATGAGACACAAGTTCCGCAGTGTCAACCGAAGAGAGATTGTCTAGGTCAGCTGGAGCACCCTCATGCAACCCCTTCGCAACTTCAGTGTGTACTTCGTTGAAGAACTTGTCGAACCTGCTCTTCGTGGCGTGCCGATTGATGTGGTAGGCCACGTCGAGTCTCTCAAGTTTCTTCGCCGTGCGGTTGCACACGATGCGGTCCGCTCGGAGGTTTCTGGCGAGCTGCCCAAGATAGCTGCCCAAGATCTTCCGGAGGTACTGACACGTGTGGCGTCAACAAGCGCATCAAACGCCCATGAAGATCGTAGACGAGAAGATCAAGAGAAAGAGAGTCCATGGGAGGAAATGAGAAGAGTAACAACAGCCACCCCGCGCCCAGAGCCAAATGACTACGGAGGAGGAGGAGGAGGAGGAAGAGGAGGAGGGGCGGGGGAAGGGAGGAGGAGGAGGGAGGGAGGGAGGGAGGGAGGATCAGGTTAGGACGGCCCCGGGGAGGCTGTCTTCATCCTCCCCCCCCCCTCTCCGTCCTCCCCCCTCCCCCCCGCCGCGTGGCCCCCTCGGACCCCCCAGCCCCCGGGCAGGGCCCACGGGCTTGGAGGCCTGAGGGGGGGGCCGGGGAGGGAAGCAGCGGAGGAGAAGGAGCCGCAGCAGCGGTGCGGCAGCCGCGGCAGCCGCGGGACGGTGGAGGGGCGGGCGCCGCCGCGCGGGAGCGGCCCTAGGCGAGCAGAGCCGAGCCAGCGCGGGGGCGGGGCCTTCTTGTTGGTCTTGAATATCTTGTCGCGGAGCATCTGCCGGCCCTTGTACTTCATCAGCCTCGAAGCCCGCACCATCCTCATGTACCTGAGGTGGCAGGGATCTGCTGCGCTCCTCACCTCCTTTTACCCCTCTCCCCTCTTTGTTGCGCTCCGTCTCTCCGCCTCCCCCTCCTCTCCGTTTCCTGCCCACTCCTCCCCCCGACCCCTCCTCTGTTCCCCACTGTTCCCTCCATTCCCCATCCTTTTTACCCTCCCCACTGCTCCCGTTTCCCCTTCTCCGCCCCCCACCCATGTTTCCCATCCCACCACACACTTAGTTATCCGAATCCTCTCTCACCTCCTCCTCCTCCTCATCATCATCATCCTCTTCTTATTGTTATTATGTGTATTGCGGTTGTTGTTAGTATTACTAGTATTATGAATAGTATTATTATTAGTATTATTATTATTAATAATAATATTATTAGTAGTATTATTATTAGTATTATTAATATTATTATTAGTATTAGTATTATTATTATGATTAATGTTATTAGTAGTATTAGTATCATTAGTATTACTATTATGAATAATAGTAGTAGTAGTAGTAGTAGTAGTAGTAGTAGTAGTAGTATCATTCTTATTAGTATTACTGTGATGACTAATAGTATGACTAGTATGTGGATTGTTGTTGTTCGTATGGTCTTATTATTAGTAGTCTTATCATTATTACTATTATTATCAGTATTAGTAGTATGATTGTTATTGTGATTCGCATTAGTATTACTATTATCATTCGTATGCTGCTTCATATTAGTATTCTTCTTACCATGATTACTAGTATGGTTGATAATATGTTCCTAGTATTAGTATTATTGTTAGTACTACTATTATTATGATTCCTCCTCCTCCTCCTCCTCCGTCTCCAACTTGGGCTGGGCGGGGAAACACTCCCCCATCGCTTCCTCGTGAAGACGAAGGAGCAAGAGGAGGGGTAGGGGTGGGGGGACGGGGGAAGGGGAGGGGCAGCAGGCGAGGACAACAGGAGGCCACGGTCACTGTGAGGCCCGGCTCGCATCGCGGGGCAAACTCTGGAGGAGCATTCCGCGGGAAGTCTGGCACTTCTCCGTCTAGGGCGAACAATCATGAACAGCATCCGCCTGTTCCCGCCTCTGATGCAATCAACTGGTTATGCTTCTCCTATTCCTCCTCCTCCTCCTCCTCCTCCTCCTCCTCCTCCTCCTTCCCCCTCCTCCTCCTCCTCCTCCTCCTCGGCCTCCTCCTCCTGCTCCTCCTCCGCCGCCTCTGCCTCCGCCCCTGCCTCTGCACCCTGTTCCCACCACCACTACCGGTACCAATACCAGTACCTAGTGCGCCACCTTGTCTCCTGGCACGTTGAGACGTGGAAGAATGCCAAGGCCTGCCAGGCAGGATCTTGAATCCTAACAGGGGTCCCCCCTCCTTCCACCCGCCGACTGCCGCATGCATCGCCCCTCCTTTCCGAGGCCACTTCCTCCGTGCCCGCTCGAGGATGGTGCAGTTTCAGCATGGCCGCGAATGCCGAATTCCCTCTTCCACAAGTGCCCGCTCGACGACTTTGCACTTCCCGAATGGCAGCTGCCGCCTGAACCCTCAGTCCATGCCCGCCCGCTCGAGGATTGTGCACTTCCCGCATGGCAGCTGATGCCTGAACCTCCCTTCCACGCGTGCCCGCCCGAGAATGGTGCACTTCCCCTATGGCAGCGAATGCCTGAACCCTCATTCAATGCGTGCCCGCTCGAGGATTGCGCACTTCCCGCATGGCTGCTACTTCCTAGACCCCTCATCTCACGCGCACCCTCTCGCGGATCGTGCGCGTCCCGCATTCCCAGGCGCTGCTCCCAAGCGCTCCAGGGACTCCCAAGTCACGATCCCTCGTTAAGACGATGGACATGCGTCCCGAGCTTCCAAGACAGCCCGTGCAAGCAACCAAGGACACCAAGATGGCCCAAGTCAAGATGCCTCGAAGGCGGCCCAAGATGCCTCCAAGAGGCCCAAAGGGCCACAACAGGACCTCCAACAGGGCCCGAAGAAGCCCGAACCACTGCTGTCCTGTAATTGAAAGACTTTCGCATTCTCGCGTTTTCGGGCTGCCGTCAGCTCAAGACGGCCCACGAGGACTCCACGATGGCCCAAGAGTCACCCAAGATAGCCCCAAGACGGCCCAAGAAGGCCTCCCGTGGGACCCAAGACGGCCTTAGAAAGCCCTTGGACCGCCCACGACAGCGCCAAGACGGCCCCACGACCGCCCATGGACACCCACCATCCGGCCAAGAGAGCCCCCAAAAAGCACAAGAGAACCCGAAGACTGTCTGACACGAGGCCAAGACAGCCCCAAGACGGCCAAACGAGCTTGCTATTATTATTAGTATTAGTACTATTGTTAGTCTCCTTCTTGTTTTAATAATATAGTTTCCGTATTCGTATTAGTCTTCGTACTAGTCTTACCATTAGCAGTAGTACGAGTGGTAGTATTAGTAATAGTATTCGTATGAGCTTTCGTATTAGTATTAGTATTAGTATTAGTATTAGTATTAGTATTAGTATTAGTATTAGTATTAGTATTAGTATTAGTATTCGCATTCGCATTCGCATTCGTATTAGTATTAGTATTAGTATTAGTATTAGTATTAGTATAAATATTAGTATTAGTATTAGTATTAGTATTAGTATTAGTATTAGTATTAGTATTAGTATTAGTATTAGTATTAGTATTAGTATTAGTATTAGTATTAGTATTAGTATTAGTATTAGTATTAGTATAGTATTACTATTAGTATTAGTATTAGTATTTAGTATTAGTATTAGGTATTAGGTATTAGGTATTAGGTATTAGGTATTAGGTATTAGGTATTAGGTATTAGTATTAGTATTAGTATTAGTAGTAATATTAATATTAGTAGTAATAGTAGTATTAGTATTAGTATTAGTATTAGTATTAGTATTAGTATTAGTATTAGTGTTAGTATTAGGTATTAGGTATTAGGTATTAAGTATTAGTATTAATAGTAGTGTTAGTATTAATATTAGTATTAGTATTAGTATTAGTTTTAGTACTAGTATTAGTATTAGTATTAGTATTAAGTATTAGGTATAAGGTATTAGGTATTAGGTACTAGGTACTAGGTATTAGTATTAGTTTTAGTATTGGTAGTAGTATTAGTATTAGTATTAGTATTAGTAATAGTATTAGTATTAGTATTAGTATTAGTATTAGTGTGAGCATTAATATTAGTATTCGTAATAGTAATCGTATTAGTACTCGCATTCGTTTTCGGACTAGAATTCGTATTAGCATTAGTATTAGTATTAGTATTCGTATTAGTATTAGTATTCGTATTCGTATTACTATTAGTATTAGTATTAGTATTAGTATTAGTATTAGTATTAGTATTAGTATTAGTATCAGTACTAGTACTAGTATGAGCATTAGTATTAGTATTAGTATTAGTATTAGTATTAGTATTAGTATTAGTATTAGTATTAGTATTAATATTAGTAGTAGTAGTAGTAGTAGTAATAGTAGTCGCAGTCTTAGTCTTAGTATTAGTATTAGTATTAGTATTAGTTTTAATATTAGTATTAGTATTAGTATTAGTATTAGTATTACTATTGCTATTAGTATTAGTATTAGTATTAGTATTAGTCTTAGTCGTAGCGTTAATGTTAGCATTCGTATTAATATTCGTATTAGCATAGTATTGGTATTAGTATTAGTACCAGAATTAGTATTAGTAGTAAAATTAGTAATAGTATAAGTATTCGTATTAGTATTCGTATTAATATTATTAGTGTTGGTAGTAGTATTTAGCATGCCACTTCTTAGCATTCTTCTTCTGCGTATTATTATTCAGCTTCGTGGTATTATTATTCAGCTTCGTGGCATTATTAGTATTCGTCTTCTTCGCTCAAAAGTATTACTATTATGTTTGATGTTCTTAGTATTATTATCATCAGTATGGTTGTTTTTCTTCGTCTTCGTATTATCCACTCGTATTATGTTTCGTGTTCTTATCATTCGAGTGCTGTTCTTCATTGGATTATTAGTTTTCCTCGTCTCTTCTGCATCATGCTCATCAGCACCATCATCAACAACAACCATCAGCATCAACATCATCAACATCATCAACAACAGCATCATCAACAACAACCATCAGCATCCTCACCACCATAATCATCATAATCATCATCATCATCATCAACATCATCATCAATGTCAACATCAACATCAACATCATCATCATCATCATCAGCATCATCATACACATCATCAGCATCGACATCACCATCATCATCAGCATCATCATAATCAATCTGCGGTATCCTCATCCTCATCACCAGCATAATCCAGATAGGCAGCATCATCATCAGCAGCTTCATCTTTAGCACCGTCATCATCATCATCATCATCATTGGTATCATCATCATCAGCATCATCATAACCACCGTCATTGTCATCGTCGGCATCATCATCATCACCATCATCATCATCAGCCGCAGCATCAGCATTCTCGTCATCAGAATCATGATCATCCTAATCCTCATCCTCATCATCATCCTCATCGTCCAAATCCTCATCCTCATCATCCTCATCGTCGAAATCCTCATCCTAATCCTCATCCTCGCCCTCATCCGCATGAGCATCAGCATCCTCAGCATCATCATCATCAGCATCACCATCAGCAGCAGCATCATTATCAGCATCACCACCACCACCACCAGCATCATCATCAGCAGCCCCATCTGCAGCAGCAGCAACCTCACCATCATCATCAGCAGCATCATCATCAGCATCACCATCATCCTCATCAGCGTCATCAGCATAAGCAGCAGCATCGTGAACATCATCATCATCAACAACATTACCAGCATCATCATCAGCATCCTCCTGATTAACATCAGCATCATCAGCATTATCAGCATCACCATCCGCATCATCTGCAGCATCACCAATCATCATCAGCATCGTCATCATCATCATCATCATCGCGAGCCTCATCATCGGCATCATCATCAGCATCATCAGCATCAGCAGCATTGTCCTCATCATCATCAGCATCATCAATATCATCAACATGTCCATGAGCACGAGCATCGGCACAAGCGTCACCATCAGAGTCACCAGTATCATCATCATCATCATCATCATCATCATCATCATCATCATCATCATCATCATCATCATCATCATCATTGTCATCATCATCATCATCATCATCATCATCATCATCATCAGTATCACCAATCATCATCAGCATCAGCATCATCAGCAGCATCGTCATCAGCATCATCATCATCGGCGCCGTCGTCATCATGACCATCAGCATTCTATCATCATCACCATCACCACCATCATCGGCTACCATGACCAGTCATCGAGCATCACCCTCATCAGCACCAGCCTCATCACCATCATAGATCACTACCACCACTACCATCACCATCATCATCATCATTACCATCATCATCATCATCATCATCATCATCATCATCATCATCATCATCATCATCATCATCATCATCATCATAATCATTGTCGTCGTCGCCATCCCCATGATCATCAGAACCTCGTCATCCCTATCACGGCTCCCCCAAGCCTGGAAACACGAGGTGTCACACGTGACGGCCTCCCGTGCCCCCTCGAACGGTCGCCATCCAGAATGCTGGGCTGGCACGGTGGCGGGATTCGCCGCAGGCAGCTCGATACGAACGCTACTAGCACTGCTCATACCACTACGTACTCCGTCTCTGCTTAACGCCGTCCACTACTATGTACAGTCCGCCGCCCGTAGCCACTAAATGGAAAACCCTCGAACACCGTCGGGTTCTCTGCCTTGCAATTTGCGAACATCTTTGAGGGGTCCCAGGCCACGAACGTCTGTCATTCCTGGGCACGCGGGGGCATGTCTGGTCGCTCCTGGGAGGTCCTGGGGATCGGCGCACGGCGTGTTTCAGTGTCATCGGGAGCGCGTTTGGGATATTCCACACTTCCACCATGGCCATAGATGGTCCCGAGGACCGCCCAGGTGCCCATGTAAACCCGTGGTTAGAAACCCGGTGAGGCCCCAGGGGGGCACCCCGAGAAGCCATGCACAACCGTGACTTCTAACGATGGCCTCAGCAGTGCTGGCCTGTCTATATTCAGGGCGTCTGGAGAGGAGGGCCAAGGGCCCCCAATGATCGCCCCAAGACGACCCCCGAGTGGCTCCCAAGGCAGTCCCAAGAGGCGCCCAACAGGGGGGAACCCGAACGCACCACGCGAGCTCTCGTGCGCCAAGATGACCCGCAAGATCGCCCAGGGGCTCTAAAAAGGTCCCTAGAGGCGCTCAAGGGGCCTCCCAGAAGCCAAAGAGGCACCCTTCCAAACGGCCCCAAGAGACACCAAAGAGGCGGCCAAGACTTCCTAAACAGGCATTCAAGAGACCCCGACGAAGCATCCAAGATGAGTCTGACCTACACCTCAGGCGTAGTGGCGAGATGGTCTGAAACCCGATCTGTGTATATATGTATATGTGTGTATGTACACAAAAAACACACAAACATGCATACACACAGACATGCATGCATGCATGCATACATACATACATACATACATACATACATACATACGTGCGTGCATGCATGCATGCATGCATGCATGCCTACGTACATCGGTCCATCCATCCATTCAACCGTCCATCCATACATACATACAGACATGTATGCATGCATACGTACATGCATACATACATACATAAGTACGTACACAAATACATGCATGCATAATATCATGCATGCATACAGTCATGTATACATACATGCGCACATGCATGCAAGCATACACGTATACAGATATTCATACATACATACATACATACATATGCACATGCACGTATACAGCGATACATGCAAACATACGTACATACATAAATGCAAGCGTACATACACATTGACATGCATGCATTGGCATGCATGACTACATGCATACATGCATGCATACATACATAACTACATACATGTATACAGGCATACATACATACATGTTTGCATGCATGCATATATGTACATACACACATATGTATACATATATATATATATATGTGCATATGTATGTAAATGTATAGATATACCTACATGTCTACATATATACAAAATTAAAAGCATATATGCATACAGGTATACATCTACATATATGCATACAGACATACATACATACATACATACATACATACATGCATGCATACATATATGCATACACACATACATATGTGCATACATAATTACATACATATACATGCATACACACACTCATACGTTCATGCATGCATGCATGCATGCATGCATACATACATACATACATCTAGACAGACAGCCAGACAGGCATACGTACATGCATACATGCATGCATGCATACATACATGCACACATACGAATAAACATGCAAGTACAAATACAAATACAAGTACATATACAAATACAGCGACAAGTACATGTACGCCTTCACATGCATATAAACATACGATTACAAGTACAAATGCAAATACAAATACAATCACACATTCAAATACTATTACAAATGTAAATGCAAATTCAAACTACCACCAGAAGCACAAGTATTCGCACGCGAAGGAGGCACAAGCGTTGTCAGAGAAGCTCGGTTTACACTCGGTTTCAGTCTGGTGTTCAAGACCACACGCGCTGCAGAGTGCCGTTGCGCGCGTGGCCCGTGGTAGCCCCTTGCGCTCCCCCCCGCCAGCCTCCTCCCCTCGCTTGCTCACGTTCCCCAGAGCGGGGTGGGAGGCGAGGCACAGGTCGTCGTAGGCCGCTTCCAGCTGATTCTCGCGTTCGAGCGCCGCGTCCAGGCTCCTCGCGGTTGCGTCGAGCCGCGTCACGGCCTCGGCCGCGGGGAACAACACGAAGTTCAAGTTCGAATTTGTCGATTGTTGCCACACTCCAATGCAAGCACGCGAACTCTTAACCCCCGGGGGGGCGAGGACCAGGAGGAGGAGGAGGAAAGAGAAGGGAGAAGAGCGGCGGGTTCTCCGCGTGAGGCCACCAGCCTGAACACTCTTCTCCTCTCTGGCATCCGTGCGCCTGGACTGTGCTTCAATCTAGGTTTCTCAAACGTGCGAAGTTCCATGAACCGCCCCTGAACCTGACCACGCGCACCTATATGCAGCTGCACCCAGTGTCTCTCGCATGCGAGCCTTTAGCCCGCATGTCAGGGTTCACTCTCCCCGTTCTGGCGCGCTCAATGGGACTGTCCCCCACAAGCCTGATGAGATGGCACTTGCCAACATTACCGCAGAGCGTGCGACAACGGTGCTCTGTACCTTCTGAGAGCCAAACCGACGTGAAGGCTGGAGCCTCTGCAGGCCCACAACTGCACCCTTCACCCGCGGCTGAGCAGCACGGGAGAGAGCTGCGGGCGGAGTGCAGGGACCGGCCAGCCAGTCGGAGGAAATCGATCTCACGACACTAGAGCGGCAGGCGGGCGGTGCGGCTCATGCCGAAGAGCGAGGGAGCAGAGCGCGTGCCAAACGACAGCCAGGCCACGGGGGGGGGGGGCCAGTCTGCACCCTTAGACAAGCGCCTTCCACTACTCGCAAAGTACCTACTCGCAAATGGCCGGGATCCGCCGCGGGGGATTTACGATCAATTACATGTAAGAAGACATGTTGTTGTTTCGGACGTTTGCGAGTAGGCACTTTGCGAGTAGCGGAACGCGCTCGGTGAAGCCTAGATCCAGCGCGGGCGCGTCCGCGAAGTGGGGCACGCTGATACAAGAAGACGCAAAACTCGAGTTTGGAGGACTCGATTCGGCCTGACGCGGGGTGCCATCAGGGAAATGACGAGACCCAATCTGAAAGTTGACGCGAGCTCCCACTGCAAGCGTGCCACGAAAACTGGATCGTCCAAATGCAGGACGGGCCCGTCAGAAAGCGTCGGCCGATCAGAAGTCTGGCGACCTCAGGTCCTGGGTTCCCCCGATGAGAAGACGTGGAGACTGGGCTGGCCTGCCTCCGAAGAGGCCGTGTCCAAGAGGAGGGAATGGGAACGGTGGAGCAGCCCACGCGGCGAACCTGGCGAGGCGCACTCGCGCGCGCGCAGATGTTTCCGGGAGGAGGAGTCGGCCATGAGGACAGAGCACGATCACACGACGCGCGTCCCGCTGCGAAAGGC